GAAGTGGCTTAAAGTGACACGATATACGGCTCCCACTGTGTGGCACAGTCAGCATATGGCAAACTGACCTGTAGAAGGTATACTGTCAGTGACCATCGACGACTATATCGTCTATTATTATTATTAGAATTTAAATGACCAGTAATCAAACGACCTTCATAGTTATCCTGACCTTCTCAGCGTCGAAACGATTTCGCTTCCACATAAATTACCCTTCCAGTGAGAAACTGGTCTTAAGAAAAAGCAACACAAAAAACAACCTTGTTCCCTCTAGAAACTGAAGCGTTTAAAGTCAAAGTTGAGGGCACCATGTTTCACGTCAAGAGTCCGTGTTAGGGAGTGCACAGGAACTAGTCGTGCTTGGCTTCACTTTGAGGTCGATACCTGCTTGCCTGCTTGAGATTAAAGGTTACAGAACTGCATGCTTATCAATGAAATAGTCAATATTTGCCGAGTTTCTGCGGTGAAGCTTTGGTCCCGTGTCGCATTCGATGAATCGTGCTTTGCCACCACGGCTTAGCCGTTTTTGGATCAAAACCATTCGATGCATTGAACCCCTATTTCTGAATTTGATCATTCGTATACGGATGATTCATTTGTATTAATAAACCGTCAAGCAAGATATGTTCTCAACAAATATGTACACAGTTTTCAGCAAATCCAAAAACGAAGCAATAACAATTATATACCGGAAAGCAACAACGTTACCTTCACCAAATTTTGATGTTGTAGCATGATGACGTGTGGTGAAATACTTTTCCATGGAGCTGATCCGAAAGAATAATAAAAAAATTTAAACCTCTGCTTCGTAGGTGATTCAAGCCACGGTCAGGGCTTGAAGCTTCATCTCGTCAGACGAGAGGACAATTGCTGTCGCTCGCTAGATTCTTAGCGTTAGAAATAAAGTACACAGATGTACAAGGAACTGGTTCTCGCCTGAGCTAACTGATTCAGAAATTGTTAAGCAGCGCTATTTGACTATGACCAATACAAGATGGTGTTTACGCTTAACTTTTATTATTGCGTGCCTTTGGTTTAACTTTCTGAATATACTGTTATGTGATATTGCTAAATAAGATATGTTTTCGTTTCCATGAATGAATCATTTCTGTATACTGAAAAAGTCGTAGTCGTCGGTGATGTCATTTCAGCAACAAAATTTCATCGCAATTTCATTTTTTTACTCACACGTCATTAAAACATGTTGTGGTAGCTGTTAGTCTGCATATAATTCAAGATTCTTTGGGCCACGCTTGATTAATAAAGGATGAATTGACAACGTTGTTGGAAAGTCGGTTTCCCTTACACTTCCATCACGGGTACCATTAGTGATATCCCTCTTTTCATGAAGCTAACGAACTATTCCCCATTTCGATACTATGCAAAAATGAGGATCATTATTTGTTAGATTAATGAGACTGGATAAAATTAACGCGGAGGAAGGGGGAAGGAAACAGTAGAGCCATCGGTTAGTAGTTTATGTTACGACTTAGGGATGGTGGGTTCAAACTCCAAAACGCGGCGCAACTTTACTCTTATATACCGTCAGTCCCCTGAAGCGAGGAGCACACCCCGTTGTGCTGTGGTATAGTCAGCCGAGAAACGGGTTGCAAGTCGTTGGCATGCGAATAATCGGGAGAGAATAGTGTTCTTGCGTGATCGTACAAGAATGGATGAAAGGTACTGCAACAACGACCATAGGGATTGATCGTCACATTGAAAATAATCAACTGTTATGTGTATTAAAATGAACTGTAGCCCTATGGTTTGCACTTGCATCAATCAGGATAGCCGTACCTCCCGTCCGTTCTGTGATGACCACTCGAGAACACCGTGTTTGCCCTTCAGAATTCGCAAGCCAACGAATTACTGTCTGATTATCAGCCGATTGCAACGTTAGGTGAATTCCTTGCTTGGGATTAGCGACTAAGACCGATATTGTATTTTTTGGGACTCGAAGCCGACCTCTTTGCCGCTGGGAGTGCAATTCACTCTGATTCACTTGCCGGTTGACTAAAAATTAGCATGAGGGCTAAATTGCAAATAAGCGATTATTCAAGTCTGTCTTTATAAGAGTGGAATTGACGGCCTTATCGATACGTTGGGAATGCTGTTCGGTAACCCAGTCGTATGTCGAACATTTTGCAGATTCAATTTTTACCTCATCAGCTTTTCTCAGCTAACAGAATCGCTTTTGGATGAGTGAAATTGCCAAGGCTATAATCGAGGATAATTAGGAATAAAGTGATGCTTCGAGAGCGGTTGTCGTCTGAACGAATTTGTCGTTTCTTAGTCTCGCAGTATTTCTCTTTTTATCTTCCTTGTTTGTTCACGGCTTCTGTTTAGAGGTCAACGGTCTGTAAATTGTAGACACTTGTGCGGTATTGCTTGAAGGATTTATTAAGAGGTTTGATGATACGTCGATTATTTTGGCACCACCGTTTGAGGAGGCTTGTGCAATTCTAGCAACATGAATTATCCGCCATTCTGCCGAGTTGCTGCTGTCATCCACAGAGTATTTTCTGTCTTACCGTGTCCCCTACTTCCATAAGTCATCAACTCAATCCATCTTTATCCATACTGTAGAGTGCATAGCGAGAAGATTCATTCTTGCGCTCTTCAAGGCAGATTCTCGTGCTGGTGCACAGCAGACTCCTTGCGGCCGGTCTACTTCCGCCATCATTGAAGAATATGCGATTGTTCATCTTTCGAAACCTGTTCCTGTAGTTTTCCATGTGCGATAGTTGCCATTGTCATCCCCGGACTCCAGAAGACAAAAACAATTTAGCCTCCAAAGGAAATGTGTCGAACAATCATACGAAAATATGCACTGGAAGGAATATTTATTATGCAAATGTTAATGGATTTGTAGGACAGACGAAAGGAGTGGAAATGGAGACAAGATATGAGTATAAATTTTGAAAAAGCAAGGAACAGCATTATTTTCGTGTAGTCTACAGTCTTAAAAAGACGAAACTTAATGGTCACCATTAGAATTAGAGTAAATGGCACTAATGAATCTACAGAAAATTGACTGAAACGTATATCATTTACGTCACTGGTACCGTACCAGATCAGAAATTACGAATTAATGTAATTCACTTTACAAACAAAACGTATTCCTGCATGCCAGCATACCGTAAGGTATATTGCTGTTTGATATTTGCCTAAATCCTCATGATGCACATGAGGTCCTGCCTTAAGCCCGTAAATATTTGGTTAACAAATATGGTTTCATTTTTGGTCATAATTATGCTTAGCGTCTTGCAAGCTACTTAAGACTTGTGACATCCATTTATCTTCACTTTTCATGTTATGATATTAGAAGCTGTTAGTTGCGTCGACGAAGGATAGATTCTTCATCGACAACAGACCTCCGTTTAGTTTCCTCTGCCATGTGATGTGTTGGCCAGAGATCATTCGTCATGCCTTTTTGGGCTTCCTCGTTAACCACTGACGAACCAGTGAGGCTTCATCACTTCAGTGCCACGCAGTGAACAAGGGTGATTGACGTTGCTGAAAGTGTAGCGTAAAACAAGCCTTTGCTGAAACAAACCTTTGCATGGGCATACCACCAAACCTGAAAAAATCGAAATACTCATCTGTAACTTTCCCATCGTACCGTCTATCCTCTGCACCAAACACAACACTGATTCCGGATGAGGCGTACCATACGCTCACTGTCTCTTATAAGCGCGTTCCCTTCGACATCTTTAAAATTTTCCTCGTCTATGATCTCTAATGGCACGGCGACCTCCAAAGAATAAAGCTTATCCAATGACACAGCAAGTAAGCATGCACCTAGCATATTTCGTAGGAACACGAGGTCTAAAATAGGATTAG